CTGCAACTTGAGCCCATTGCTCCTTCTGTCATCTGCCACCATTGAGGACAGTCCAGCTCCAACTCCCTGCAGGGAGGTTGCAAAGAGGATGAAGGCAGCTATTAAAAATCACATAATCACAGACAAGGAGGGTTGGAAGGGACCTCAGGAGGTCACATCTAGTGCAACCCCCTGCTCCAAGCAGGACCAGCCCCAACTTCATCATCCCAGCCAAAACTTTGTCTAGCCGGGTCTTCAACTAATAAAAAAAAACCCACCCCAGGTTGATGCCCTGGGATGCTTCTTGTCCTTGAAGAGACTTAATACCAACAGTGGTCCCGATTCCCCTCAACTGCCTGCTGTCTATAAGCTCTCAGGTGCCAGCATATCAAACCCAAGCTTGATTATTTTATATTTCCCTCAGTGAAGCCCTCACCAGAGGCAGCAACTGGCTTTTTTTTTTAAAAAACAGAATTCCACTTTTTTCCCCTCCCTCTTTAGACACATTTCTTGCTTTCCCCAATTCATCACGTGGGACTGACTGAGGCTTCAGGTCCCATGACTTTCCAGAGGTCGCAGGCACTTTTCAAGTGGGCTCGGTTCAGATGAATTTCTGGCATTCCTACCTGGCCTTTGCAAGGGGCCTGTGCTTTCCACACTGTTTGCTTTAAAGTACAGGATGAGTAATACCTTGTTGAAGAACATCGACCCCCCCTGCCCCGGGCTGAGGCTTTGCAATAGAGAAACCTCCACACGCCGGCCTTGCGGTAATTGTGTTAGCCGCACACAAGAAAGAGGCTCCAAGCCACAGAAAGCCACTACTGTACTCTCCGTCTCTGGGGTAGTAAAAGGCATCCTGCCCGATGACAGTACATCCAGCACTAGGTCTTGCCTAACCGCTCTATTAACTTAAGTAGTTCCAGCCACGGATCCACGCTGCGGAAGGAAGCTCCTTGGATTTAAAGGGCTAGCAGACCTGTATGCTACGAGCCTGTTGGGTCTCAGAGCATGGCTTGGATCAGCAGTTATAAAACAAAATAAAAATATATTTTTAAAAAAATATACATTTTTAATATAATTTATTTATATAAATATCATTTTTATTTGTATTTATTTTTATTATTCATATACATAAATAAAAATAAAAATATATAAATATGTTTATATACATTTATATAATAAATATATAAATATATTAAAATATTGTTATATCTATATATATTTATATAAAATAAATAATAATAAAAATAATAATAAAAAAAAGGCGAGGACAGGGAGGGACACGTCAAAAACATCTGGACACTCACCGTGCTGGGGTCATCTGACCGCAGCAGTCTTTCCCGCCCAAGTGTGGGGCGGTGCTGGACCTGATGATCTTGAGACATCCCTTCCTGCCCCTAACATGTATGAATCTATGAACCCTGGTCCATCAAGTCTAGCCCCATTGGGGCAGGCATCCCCTCAGGCAATGAAAGTGGTTGTGGGGCTGGGGGACTTGACTGGTGAGGAGAGGCTGATGGAAATGGGCTGATTGAGTCTGCAGAAGAGAAGACCGAGGGGGATTGAATCGCAGCCTTCACCTCCCTGCAGGGGGGCTGCAAAGAGGATGGAGCTGGGCTGGTCTCAGTGGGGGCAGGTGACAGAAGGAGCAATGGGCTCAAGCTGCAGCAAGGGAAGTTGAGGATGGATGTTAGGACAAACTCTCTCATTAGGTGGGTGGTGCAGTCTCCATCCTTGGAGGTGTTGAAGACCTGGCTGAACAATGGCTTGGCTGGGATGATGTAGTTGGGGCTGGTCCTGCTTGGAGCAGGGGGTTGGACTCGATATGACCTCCTGAGGCCCCTTCCTGCCCTCATTGTCTATGCTTCACCTAATCCTATCCAGAAATAAGTGATACTTCATCTTAAAGCAACCTGGTATATGTTTTGCCCTTGTTGACCCCACCGGGAGCAATTGCATGAAATGGTCGTGGCGACTCTTCCCATTTGCAAGCAGGGAGGCTGCTAACCAGGTTCTGCAAGGTGTCACAGAATCACAGGGCGTAGTCACCGCTGGCCTTTAACAGGCCACAGCAGTGTCACGGCTCGACTATAACCCTTGACCTGGTGTGCCCTTCCAGCAGCTGCTCTGGGAGGTTGCACTGGTCGAGCATCCTCGTGGGACAGGTGCTGGAAGTGAGTTCCACAACAGAAGGGGCAGCATGTTTCTTGCCTCTGCTCTTTGCAGCCCACTGGAAGTCACAGATCTGGGGCTTCAAATGTGCCCTTTCAGTGGGCACGTCTACACGTGCACTATCACTGCACAATATGGGCACACATCTATACGTGCATGCCTGTACTGTGCAGTAAATATGGTGGCTTATGTCAACTTGAGTGTAAATTGGATACCTGCATGATGCAGGTATCAAATTTATGCCCAATTAATTACTGTGCAGTAAGACACATGTAGATGCCTTACTGCGCAGTCCACACACGCAGTGTTACTGTCTTAGGACTAACTTTAGCTCCAAGTCAAACCACACGCAACATTAATGCGCTTTAACGCCTGCACTTGTAGATACCGGCCTATTCCACTTACCGTGCAATAACTTATTGCACAGTAAATGCACATGTAGATGCACCCAGTGAGGCATAAGGGAGACAATGGGCACATTAGGATGTCCCGGTCTGGGGTCATTAAGCGGTGGAGAAGCCATCATTTGATATGAGGGACAAAACCAGGCCAAGACTCCATCTCCAGAATCGTGACTGGCTTGCCATGCAACCCACCCAAATGGAGCCAGCTGTTGACTGGTAAATAGCTGCTGCGTTCCTCTACACCAGAAACAGCTGCATTTCGGTGTGTGTGGCAAGGGAACAACAGGCTACGTATCCATAAAGCACTTTGGTATCCTTCAGGATGGTTGGCGTGCCAGAGAGCAACCGATCAGGAAGAGATGGGGGCCGTAACAACTCCTGGGCCAACATCAAGTGTCTTTCTCAGACAGCTTAGGCAAATCACATACACGGCGCACACGTTTTCATGGATGCAACTGGCTTTTTCGCTGGTGTAAATGCCGAGGGGGCAAATGACACAGCTCTACATAGCTGTCACTTGTTCCGTTTTGGGATTGCTCCAACTATTCCCAACCCCGCGGCGCCTTGTGGCAAGTGGCTGCAATAGTGGTCACCGAAGGCACCTGATCTGTCCACCACCGGACACTGGTATAACTTACATCCACGGACAGGCTGACAGAAGTTACACTGGTATAAATACGTTGCACGTGTGCACCCTTAGGCCCTTGCAAATGCAGGCAGTAGAAGCAGAAAGCTTTCCCTAGACAGCCATGCTTTCTCCTAACCACCAGTCTCAAAGTGAAAGTCAGACAGGGACTGACTGCTGCTCCCAGGGGAATTGCTATTTCTAACGGCAACAGACTCTCCTACGCTCAAGGGGTTTGCTCGTATTTTCAAGTCCCAAAGGGCACGTCCACTTTCACGTGCATTTGCTTATTGTAACGCACATTAAATCATCACTAAAAATGTACTATTTAGTTCATGCGCATTAAAATAGGTGAATGCGCATGAAAGGGCATGTGTGGACGTGCGCTTTGGGGCTTAAAAAATACGAGCAAACCACTTGAGCTTAGGAGAGTTCATGAGCATGAAGACAGGGTAATGTGCATTGTCCTAGTACGTCACAATGGAGGTACTAGATTTAATGCACATTAAGTAAAGTGCATTAATGCATGTGTAAACATGCTCCCCCCCAAGAGACACAGTTCTAGCAAAAATATTCTGCCCTTCTAAAGCACCTTTTCTCAGGGGATTTCTAGGATCTGCAGTTTTCACACAACCCTCCAACCCCATTTGAGGAAGGGGCTTTACACCCACACAACAAGTGGGGAAACCAAGGCAGAAGTGACCCACCCAGTCACATGGAGGGGCTGTGGGAGAGCAGAGGGAGGCTGGCTGGCCTGATTCCACCCTGCACCCTCTTCTCTCCCTCTCTCTCTGTCCTCCCCTCCCCTCGGCTGCAAGCATCTCCAAATCTCACACCTCGCACTCGTGCTTCCAAGACAGAGCTGAATTGTTCCTCCGCCAACAGCCTGTTGACTCGGTGGATTCCAGGCCTGACGCCGCACACCCGAGGGCAGAGGGAAGGGCTGGTCGATGGGCCCAGGGTGTGCATGAGCGTGGGTGTTCCCTCCCCGTGGGAGCACCGAGTGCGTGCCCTCCGGCCCGGCGGCTCGGATGGCTGCTGGGGGGCCCGGCGGCTCGCTCTCTGCTGTAGGTCGGCGTGCTGTTCCCCCCACCCCGGGTGTGAGCTGAGACTCCTGCTGCTCCCTGACCTGCCGTGGGCTCGACAGGAATCAAGCAGCCCGACGCCAAGTGCTTAAAATCATAAGGCTCTTCTTAAAGCACGGACCCGAGGACAGCTCTGCCACGCGACCTGGGCACGTCACCAGGGGCCAGAGCCAATGCGACTGGCAGAAATCGGAGTGCAGAAGGGGCTTGTCTACACCACGGCACCTGGTCTGAGCCAGCCCGTGCTAAACAGCGGCATTGCACTGAGGATGCTCCAGAATCTCTCTCTTCAGGGGGTCTCAAACACACCAGACACCGAGGACTCAAGAGCAAGTACAAAAGGCAGAGCCCAGGTAGCCTCACTGGGTTGCATCAGGCCCAGGGGAGCTGAAGTCTATCACTTCTGCAACTCGCTGTCCCCATAGCAGACAAGCTCCAAGAAGTGATGCTGAGCACCCTCCCCCTCTTCTCCTACGGCCACAAAATTCACTCAGTGATTGAAGTTAGGAATGCAAAGATCCCAAATGCTTGAATCAAGGCTGCTGGATATGCATAGCAACCCCTCTGCCTGAGCGACCTGGCCCTGCTCCCGGCCTCACCTCCACCGGCCCCAAGCAGGTAGGCAAGGCTGGAGCAGGCCTAACGCACCCCAGCCACGCTGAGCTCCGGACAAAGGGCAGCAGCTTTAGTCACCTCCCCCAAAACACATGGCGGTGGTACCCATCTTGTGCCTACCTCTCCTTGTGGTATCTGGGAAGTGGAAGATGAATCCAAATCTCCTGTGGTCCAGGGCATCACCTGAAGCACCCGGTGATGCAGAGAACACCATCCACCTCTCCTCAAATTGCTGGGCTGGTATAAAGCCAAGAATGCAGCATTCACGGGGCTGGAGAGAGAGAGCAAGCATGAAGGACAAATGCAAAGTCCTGCACTTAGGACAGAGCAATCCCCTGCACCGGGACAGGAGGGGGGTGACGGGCTGGGCAGCAGCTCTGCAAAAAAAGGACCTGGGGGGGACAGGGGACAAGAAGCTGAACAGGAGCCAGCAGCATGCCCTTGTGCCAAGAAGGCTACCGGCATCCTGGGCTGCATTGGTAGGAGTGGTGCCAGTGTATGGAGGGCAGTGATTCTTCCCTCTATTCAGCACTGGGGAGGCCACATCTGGAGTCCTGTGTCCAGCTGTGGGCCCCACTACAGAAAGGATGTGGACAAATTGGATAAGTAGCAATGAAAATGGTTGGGGTCTGGAGGACAGGACTGGTGAGGGGAGGCTGAGGGAAATGGGCTGATTGAGTCTGCAGAAGAGCAGACTGAGGGGGATTGAATAGCAGCCTTCACCTCCCTGCAGGGGGGCTGCAAAGAGGATGGAGCTGGGCTGGTCTCAGTGGGGGCAGATGACAGAAGGAGCAATGGGCTCAAGTTGCAGCAAGGGAAGTTGAGGTTGGATATTAGGAAAAACTCTCACGAGGAGGGTGGTGAAGCACCGGAACAGGCTCCCCAGAGAGGTGGTGGACTCTCCATCCTGGGAGGTGTTGAAGATCCAGGTAGACAACGCCTTGTCTGGGATGATGGAGTTGGGGCTGGTCCTGCTTGGACTAGATGCAACCTCCTGAGGTCCCTCCCAGCCCTCATTGTCCCTGATTTTTTGAAGGAGCTTGATTCTGCAGCCATATGGCCTCTGCTCTCATGGCTACTTCCGTGTTTTATCCATGGCCTGGGACTAGACTCGTCCCAGCCGACTGCCCCAACTACTAGCCTCCAGAATCAGCCTCCCTCCAGCTTGCTCTCCTCTCCCCCCATGCCTCCTGCTCTCCTAGCTTTGCAGGAGGGTTCACCCCTATAGCCAGGTGAGGGTCCTCCTGCAAGGTGGGAAATGTAGGGTTGAATCCCCCTCTTGCTGAGGCAGCCCTGGGGCCTAGCCTTGAGAAGCCAGCTTCTTCCTAAGTCAGGCAGCATCATGAGGACGAATCCTGTTCTCTTAGGACTTTGCTTTCAGAAGACGACTCCAAGCCTCAAGTTACAGGTCTAAGCTCTGGAGATGTGTAGCAGACACATGCCTGGGCTTAGCATTTCCTAGCTCTCCCCTCCACATCAAGGGGCCCAATTTCCTGACTTGACTGCATAAGAGGCTGAGGCACCCCTTTCTGGGACCACACACCTCGGGTTTAACCATGCCCACAGCTTGGTGACACCCATGGAGACAATCTGGATTTTGCCTGTTGGCCCAAATTCTCAAAGTCAATTAAGACCCTCACTCCCTTCCTCAATGTGGTTTAGGTCCCTCATTCCCATAAGTTGCTGTGGGAGTTGGGATCCTGAACACCACCTCCGTCTCCTAATGGCAAGGTGATGTGATGGACCAACCACCCGGCTCTGTCCCACCAGCTCTGCCACTGGTCTGACGTGCCTCCTTGGGCAAATCACTTCATTGCTCTGTGCCTCAGTTTTCCCATAGGAAAGTTGGGCTGGGAAGCACTTCATGAGGTTACATCTGGCCCACGGCAGGGTCGTCCCCAACTAAACCAGCCCAGTCAAGGGTCTGTCCAACCTGCTCTTGAAAACTTCCAGGGATGGAGAGTCCACCAACCTCTCTCGACAGCTTGTTCCAAAGCTTGACCAGTCTCAGAGTAAAACAGTTCCTCTAAAATCCCACCCAAGTTTCCCCTGCTGCAGCTCAAGGCCACTGGTCCTAGTCCTGTCCCCTGCAGCCACAGAGGAAAGCCCATCTCCAGCTTCCCTGGAATAAAATAGGCTAATATGCATTAAAGTGCATGTGTAGATGCACCCAGTGTTATAGTTATTTATTCTTCTTTTGCCTTTTTTCCCCACTCCTGTGCTACAGTTAACAGCATGATTAGCAGAGAAGGGCCATGTTTAAGAGAAGACAATTACCAGACAACCCAAAATGTCAGCAGAAGAGAAACTCCTGGAGAACTTGTCCCTTGAAAGCCGGAGCAAACTGAATTTTGGTTAGGAAAGGGACTCCATTAATCAAGCAATCAATCTTAATGGCTTAAGATTTGTTCCAAATATTGCTTAGATTCGAATAGGGCAGGGTGCATCTATACAGGACATTTTACTGCGCAGTAAGCATGCAACACTTGCAGTGCAGTAAAGTGTGCTACTCATGAGTAAATCTGCTGCTTGCAAATGCAGGTAGCAAATTTACTTGCGAGTAGTTACCGTGCAGTAATGCACGTGTAGATGCCTTCCCAGGAGCATTTACCTGTGAGTTTACGTGCGAATAAACTGCTTCTGGATGAAATGCACGTGTAGACGCACCCACTGAGACCTTATTGCAATCCAACAGGGAGCAAAATAGATAAGTCCAAGCAATTAATTATCGCTAGAGTCATTTACGTGGCACCAATGGTATTGCTTTATCACAGCCACCCCCCTATTACCCAAGGTAGTTAGATCTGTGGTGAACCAAAGTCACAATGAGCACTCATTTATCTGGCTAGCTTGAGTCCATCCAGCAGATTGTAATGAGAATTTGCCAAACCAGGTTAGATAACACAAGGACAGATCTCCTTGCCCTAAACCAGTGGGTCTTGGCCTTTTAAGACCTAAGCTCCCCCCTCATTAGACTCAAAGCTGTCCTCAGAAAGAGGATAGCTTTCACTTGTGCCTTGACTACTGAAAAACACTAGACCTACTCTTTATCGTGTGCAATCACGTGCAGGTATTTGCACACCCACAGGCCTTATTACACGTTACACTTAGCATGTGCTAACTGAACTTCCAACACTAGCACCCTAAGTGTTCAAGCAGTAAAGCACATGCTAAATGCCATTGCCGCGTCGTAGTCGGGCCTTTTTTGGGGGAAGGAGTCTCTCTACGTTGTGTGACCCATTGTGTTTTGAGCTAACCTCAGACTGCTCCAAGAAGGGACTAGGATCAGGAGACCCCAGTGTATGTGGGTGCAGTGGGGGGTGGAAACCCAGAGCTGTTTGTCAGGCTCCCAGCCACCTTCAGCACACTGGAGGTTTGCTGGTTTAAGGCATGGGGATGTGAGTGGCACCGGCACCCAGCCCCTACATCACGTGCTAGCTACTTCAAAGCTCTGCTGTGGTACCCCGGCACGACACGGGAGCCAGTCCTGGCCTCACACCACATGAGAGCTCAAACTAAAGTGGTGTGGGAGCTGGGTACCACCTCCTGTGCATGCCAGGGACCCTCCCCACCCCCACGTTGCATTGCAGCCTTGAACTCTCTCCAGTATGAACCCAGCTAATTTCCAGCCGCAACCCTGGGACCAAACCAGATCCAGCTCAAGGCTGTGGTGGGTGTCTACAACCTACGTCTAGATGGTAGTAAGCACGACCATGCAAGTGCTCAGAGAACTAAAGTCATATTCATGCTTACCGCTATCGAAATGCAACACATACTAAGGGCTCATATTGCATGAGGGTCTCGCAGCACCCTGGTTGAGAAGCGCTGCCCTAAACTTGCATCTGAACTGGAATCCAACCTTGTTGCAAAGTTTCCTAATTAGATCCTGTAATTTTCTCCCCATCTCCACTGCACAAGACTCAGAGGCTCCAAAGCAGCTTTTGGTCCCCGCGGGAACTTTGAGGGGAGGAAATTGGACGGGTGCATGGGCCAAACTGTGCCGCATCCTTGGACAGGGGTGATTATCACCCTCCGGCAGGGAATGGGGTGATCTGCAGCAACCATTGCTATGTTGCAAATCTCTGCCAGGCAACTGGTGCTCTAATAGAGGGAAAGCAGGGGGTAAAACCTCTCTGCCGTAATAGCATCATTCACCTGGTCTCAATCCACATTAATTTAGGTGGATGCAGCTAACACACAACACGGTCCTGATGAAAAGAACTGTTTCCCTGATGAAAGTTCGGCTTCACCCAAAACGACATTTTTTCACATGCCAGTGGGATTTAAAGGTATGCAGGTTGTAGCCGTATTGGTCTAGAGGAAAAAAAAAGCAAGCAGGGCTCGTGGTAGAAGCGATCTCTTTTTAGAAACCAACAGGGTTTTTGCAAACAATAAAAACAAACAAAAAATTGTTTGCAAAAAACTTTGATGGTCTAATTATTTTTTTTTTTAGCAATTTTCTTGTTGGTCTAATAAAAGATATCACCTCTACCACAAGCCCTGAGAGGGATTTAAAGCCAGTTTAATATTTTATAGGGTTTTTTTATTGCATTTTTTTTTTAAAAATGGGGAACCCAATTTTTTGTTTCTTTTCCCCCATGTTGACCTTTATTTAAAGTAACTTCATGGCTTTATTTCATCTACCCCCCCTCAACTTTGGTGGGTTGAAAAGCAATGGAAAACCTCACTCGAGGGGCTGCAGGAAAGACAAACACGTGCACAGATGCACCCGCTTTTCCAATCCTGTCTTCACAAGGGAGTACAGGCTTTTGTAGGCGAGACCCAGAGGGAAGAGAAAGCACTTGTCTAAAGAGACGCAGGGAGCCAGTGTGAGCTGGGAATTGAACCTAGGGTCCTGGATGCTCGGTGTCCCCTGCTTTTTTTCCCTTTATACCCACTAGCCCCTACCTCCATCTCAAAACAGGAGCAGGAACCCAGGAGTCCTCTGCTCCCGTCATAGCCCCGATGCTTTTGCAAGCGCCACTAAGCCACAGAAAGACCGATCAGCAACTTTTTCAGATTTACGCCAAAATTGCACGGGTTGCATCAGCTCCGTTGAACACAACAGAGGAGAGAAAGCTCTCCCAGATGAGTCAGTCCCGTTGTCCCCCTCC